GGGGACACTGCGCTCCTGGGATGAAGCTGCGCCCGGGGAGGGGACACTGCGCTCCTGGGATGAAGCTGCCCCTGGGGAGGGGACCCTGCGCTCTTGGGATGAGGCTGCGCCCTGTGCCCGATATGAGGCTGTGCCCGGGGAGGGACACTGTGCCAAGCAGGGGAGGCTGTGTTCCTGGGATGAAGCTGCGTCCTAGACCGTCCCGTGTCCCTTCTGAGGGCGCAGTGTCCGCGCGGGATGCTCTTTGCCGCGGGCGGCCCCGGGCGAGGGTCTGAGCGGGGCCCAGGCCCCTATTGACGTGTCCACCGGAGCGCAGGACGGTTTCTGCACGGTACACGGGTGCCAGGGGAGGCGTCACGGGGCTGTGGATACTGGATACTCAGACGTGTTGGAGCCCCTAACCTCAGGTGTATTCCCGTCCGGATTTTTCGTCGGAGACCCACACCATAGTGTTTGGTTCGCAGTTAATATTTTTAGTCTTCACGTTTTGGTTGTTATATTTCCTTCTTGGGCAAACCATTATTGGATTCCATTCTCAAAATACAACGAAGAGTGGCTTGATATCAAACTTGCTTCTTTACTCTTAGTGCCATAATTAAGACGATCAAACCGTGGCTCTTATTGCGGATAAAATGTGTTTTAATCCTCTTTGCTCCCTCTTAAATTTACCCCCATGTTTTAGACCTTTGAAAGGTGCCACCCAGAGGTGCATTTTCTAAAACGCTGGGTTTTCTTAAGAGCAGCTCCTGGGAGATAGAAAAGCTAATTGTTTTTTGATTACCAGCTTTTCTGTGGGGCGGGAACTACTTTTACCTTTTTAGCTTGCTGAAGGCTTCCCAGAGGGAAAAGGAAGAAGGGGGAAAAACTAATAGAATCCTTCTTACGGGAGAGGATAAAGGGCCCATCAGTGCGTGGTTCCTCCAGCGGGCAGGATCCTCTAGGCAGCGACACCAACCACAGGGGCTCGGTAAATATTTGATGAGACCCTGAGCTGGGTGCCCTGGTCCTGGCCTGCGGGATGCATTTTCTGAGCTCTGCGTGGTGTTATCTGAGGGTTCTTGGGACTGGGTGTAGTCAGCTCAAGCTGCATCGAATTGGAAACTGTAGTTGGAAGGGTGAGGAGGAGGCCTGTTTGTGGGGGGGAGGTGGTGGAAAGGGAACCGATCCCCTGAGAAGTGATGCCACGTGCCTCTGGCGTGTGCCCTCTGCAGTCCTTCCTGGGGAGGACGACTAGCTGCGAAGTGGTAACATCATCCACAAACAACAGCTTCTCTCATAGGCTAACTTCTTTGTGAATTCACGTGTTGTAAAGCATTTGGACTGTGTACAGATTTTTGGAATAAGAAAAATTTTAATTTCTATTTGTCCAGTGAATGCAGGAACAAACTTACTCCAGTTGACAGATGCTTCTCTGTGTCCAACGAGGTGCTGGGCTTTCCTTGTTTAGGCCCTGCAAGATGAAGTGCCCCGCAAGATAGGCAGAGTTAAAAAATGCTACTGGCAGTTTACTAAGAACTTCTATAGTGTTGAATTTTTAAACATAAAATTAATAATTTTAGTTATGAAATTATAAAACTTCTATTTATAGATTTGAAATGAAGGCATGCAAATAGTACATTCAAAAAGTACATTCCACTCCACCCAGCCACTCAGCACTCCATGGTCCCTGCACACAGTTGTATATGTGATTTAAAATAATTTTAAATATTTCTTGCAACAGTGCTTCAGTGGATATTCTTATACATGAGTGCAAGCAGACCTACTAGTTGTTTTTTAATTAACTATCAGAATTCATTAGTTGTAAGTTTTATTTAAGAAATGTGTTTTATTCTCTTGAATGCTGTGATTAGCTCTGTAAGTGCACAGGACCAAAGAATGTAATTTAAACAGGTAGGAGGTAGTTAGACAGTATTCTTTGGAGAATAACAGGTAAGGTTATACATTTACCAGCCAATAAAAAAAATTAAGAAAAATTATCAAGTTTGGTGTGAAACTAAACAGCTGCAAGAGTTTTAGTTTTATTAGAAAATTTGATGGTTTTTCTGTGTCAACTTTCTAAAATAGGAATTTTCAAATCTGTAATTTGGTGTGATGGAAATGGTGGTGTGTTTAAAAACTCATTATGTTCATAATATGTGAGGTAGGAAAAGCAACTAGGAAAATTTAACTGTACCTTGAAATCATTAAGATTTCTTTTGTACTCAAGTGACTTTTCTTCCCAGTGTTACAACTTTTTATTTGAAGTGTGGTCAGGGAAAGTGCAGTGGCCAGCAGAGGTCTTCACGCTGGTTCCATTTGCAGTTTCGCTTTGTGGCTTGACAGCTGTTGGGCTGGGACTATTAATACCAAATTATTCTCACAGTACTGCAGGTTGATCAGTACTGCTTGGCCCTCTTCTCCACCTTACAAGATGTTCTAGGAGTATACAAAGGGAAATGACTTTGGTTTTAAGTTTACCATCTTTATGACGGATTTTAAATTAAGATTGAGCAGGAAGGGAACTGACAGTAGTCAGAGATGCCTCGTATTTTTATGGTAGTACAGTGAAATGGAACCTCTGCTTGCTTTTGGATTGATGATTTCTGAACCTGGTTTTGTTTCTTTTTTTTTTTAATTAAGTCATAATATACATAGATCATGAATACATTTATGCCTTTGTGGGATTCATCGTGTTGATTATTTGTACAAATTAGAGTGCTTACATCCTACTAATTAGCATAGCTTTTACCTCATTTACTTAATCACAGTATTAAGACATTTGTGTTCAATACTTGATAGATTTGACTTGTACCCTTGCAATATGTTCATTCACACTTTCATCCTGCAGGTACTGACCATGTGCATCCTGGAGCCAGGTGCTTTTCTAGGTCTGGAGATGCAGGCTGGCTCCTGCCCTGGTGGGGTCCATGCATAGTGGGTGAGGAGAACGGTAAACAAATGCCTGGTGTCCTAAGTGCTGTAAAGAGCAGGTGAGGCTGGGGGAGAAGGGGAGGTGAGGACTCAGTAGTAAGAGCATAAGGCCTCAGGCTTCCTTGTCACCTGCTAGTCACAGAAGGGAAGCCATTATGGCAGAGTGGACCTAAGAGTGGCAGGCAGGATGTGAGGCTGTAGAGGTAGAGGCTGCATCTCTTCAGAGCACGCAGGCTGTGGTGAGGACTTTAATCCAAGTGTGATGGGAAACCTTGAGAGGTTGGTAGGTCTGTCCTTCCAACCTCCCTTCCTAACTGGCTTCCTCCCTTCCTAACTAACTTCCTCCCTTCCTAACTAGCTTCCTCCCTTCCTAACTAACTAGCTTCCTCCTTTCCT